TTTTTGCATGTTTTTGCCAACCGCCCTCAGCCCTTCGTGTTCGACACCACTGTTGCTGGCCCAGCTGCGCTGATATTTCTGCAAGGTTGCCTGCACGTGTATGCACGGTGCAATCAAACAAAGATTTGTCGTCCTTGCGTTGAACCTATTCCATTCACACTTTGAAAGCACAACGACACTGCCTTCGTATTGAATTTGTTCAAAGGAAATCACAGGACGGCCCTTTGTCCTTCAGAACAATTTCAATGTCAATATCGACCAATACTGCAACATTTTATTCTCAGTACATCTGGCTGCCTCTCTCTGCCCCTATGACTCACACCTTGCCTCCGGCAGAACTTGCAGGTCTTCTACTCCTCAGCAGCTGCTTGGAGTGATCATGACCGTGGTTGGGTTTGGCACGCACGGAGTTAGAGGAATCAATTCAGAACTGAGCTGCTAAGCTTACTGTAAATCGTTGATGTGACATGGGCGTTGCTCGCGGTGTTCATCCCTTCAGTGTTCCGAACTTGCTCGCGTTGCTCGCGGCATCCCTCTCTCCGAACTGGAGAAGAGCTTCGAGTAACGCTGTAAGGGTCAACAAATGCTCCAGCTGTTGGCTGTTGGCTGTCCAGGGCTCCACGGGCGATTGTGAATAGTGGGAGATGAGTCAACTAGCAGCGCTAGGAGTCACTAGGAACTTCTTGCCGCTTTGGGCACCCAGGTGCTGCCTAGAATCTGTTCATGCTAGTGTTGTGCTTGCCGTCCAGATGTCTTGTAACCTTTTTGGGGAGATGGAGCGTTTGTATTGCGCATGGTGCAGCACATTGCTCCGCAAAAGGCGGGCCAATGGACTCCAGACCGTGGGGAGGCCCGCGGTAGACCTGCAAATGCGACCGGTTAAGGTCGTTTAAGTCACACTCCCGCTCGAAAACCACCGGCGGATCTCTTCTAGAACAGCAGCTTCGGGATTCCTGGACGAGGTTGCTCAACAAATAACTCCGTCTATTATAATATGTGTATAGTATATGCTATATATGTGTGTAAACAAATAGATACATATATCGGCACTATATATAAGAGATACTATAAGACTATAAGAGATCACTCTGAGTGCCCGCAATACACACGAGAAAGGCGGCGCGAGGCCTCATGGTGGATCCATGAAGTCCATGCGGATGCACAGCACAGTCCCTCTGGACTGCACTACCGATCCACACGGTGCCTGCCAATAAGCAAGAACAAAAGAGAAAGCAGTTTTTCACTACCTGGTCTCTACCCCCAGGCTGATACAAATGTCTGATACTGATATGGTAGAGATGGTTATAGCCTTTTGGGAGCCATGATAGCTTCTGGGTGGTGAGGGCGGATGGCCAAAAATATCTGCAGACTACTATAGGCTACCAGGTGACGTTGACTGATTGGAGACCACTCCGCAGCTTCGGCGTTCACACTCCCCCGATCTAAATCCCAGCGTCTCACTTGGGCAGTGCATCCCTCACGGCCATAGAGGGGGCAATGGATTGCCACACGCCGTTCCTCGATCTGGCCTGACACGTTCAGCTGAGGGTGGCACTACTACAGGCACCATGTCGTAGCACTCCAAGCATCGGCGAAGAAAACGCGGGTGCCGTAGATACGAAGTACATGACGTGATCTTCCAGAAACGGTCTATGTAAGTGGGGTCCAAGTCTACTAAAGCATCCAAACCCATGCTGCCACTCGTGCCTTGATCTGCTTCTGTATGTCGCTGTATGTTTTTACACTGGCATGGGCTTTTGTGAGCCCCATCGGTTTGCTACTCCCCGCTCCGCAGCACCCACCTTGCAAGTAGCGTCTCAAGCAGTGCACGCAGACCTGATCATTGCATTCCACCGACACGGAGAGCCCCAAGCGAGCCACGGCAGCCACGGCGTCTTGAGGGCCAAAAGCATCCAAAAGCCAAGAATTGGAGTGGTTTACAGTGGCTTGATGCTTCATGCGAACACGTCATGTCCGACGTGTTCAAGGAAAGCCATCTCATCGGCCAACGGCCCACGGTGGCACGGCAAACAGGTTGTGTTGGAATTTGGAGGTCTGTCCTGCTTGCGTTTTGTTTTAAGCCCGCCCTTACTTAATTAACTACTCGCCCACTTAATTAAGAAAGGAAGTATATATATATATACTCCTAGCTACTATAATATAGTGAGCCTCTAGTAACTGGACGCAGGATAGCTGACGCTTCTTCAAGGAAGCTCCCCCTGCCTGAGGGCGGGGGGCGGAGCTTCCTTGACAAGAAGCGCTCGCACTAATGATTGGTTCCTAGATTGTTTGGGAAACTTAACTCTCCAACCACGCTCCTGCTTGCGACTCGTCACCACGTGGGTGGGCGCGCAGCACTCTATGAAGGAGCATTGGATCAGGGAGTCACAGGGCTGCAAGCAAATCCTCAAACCGGGTGCAATGTTCGGAGCTTTTTCACTCTGACGACTGTGGCGCTCTGTCTGTCTTGCTTTCTTTCCTCCTTGCTTGCTTTCGTTCTTCCTTTCTTTCTCTCCCTCCCCTTCCTGCAGAGTTGAGCTGTCTCACATGATTCCTGCTGTATCAATTCATGATGCTTTCCGCCAGTTCCTTCTAAGTGACTACAGTGAGCCTTCTTTCTTCTGGGTCCTTATGGATGTGGTTGTGGCGCGATTGCCTGCCTGACTGGTGTCAAATAATGTAAAATGTAAAATACCCTTCCAGCAGTCACAAAGGAGGGCCTATTGAAGGATACGGGTGCCCATTATCCACTCACTTAGGGACTAAAACCCGCCCTTTGTGACTCCTGGTTCATTCATCTTCATTCCCTCCCGCTGTCCTGCATTGGAACTCCCCTCGCGCTGCCAACGACGGCAGCGCCAGGGCCAAGGCGGCCACGGCCGCGCGTGTGGCTGCGGCGCCTGCACGGCAGCGACGATGCGGCACCACGGGAGGAAGCAACAGACGACGTGGGAGGTGAGGAAGCAGCATGACAATTCAAGAGAGAGGGAGAGGGAGAGGGAGAGAAAGAGAGAGAGAGGATTGGAGGGCGCAAGGGCAGCCTTGCACTCTCATCTAGGATGAAATCATGGCCCGGTGGCCCGTCCTGGTGCCGAAGTTCGTGGTGGCTGGAAGATGTCTGAAGTCTAAGGTGGTCCAGCATCCACTGTTCGTGAGTACATGAGCAATGCAGGTTCTCACAGCACAGAAGGGGCGCTACAGCACAGAGGCGCTACAGCACAGGGTCGAAACGCCACATCGTCGCCGGAACGCCCTAAGAATATCCGACCAAACGTGTCCGAAAACAAACGTCCTGAAGGGATCGAAACTTTGGAACCCACAGAGTTGCAGATCATCATCCCACTGCTCATCCCATCATGCCACAGAGTTCCAGATTTGACCTTTTTTCCAAGGGCCAAATTCATGCTAAGTCATGCTGACTGGATGGTCCTTCTGAGCAAATTCATGTAAGTCGCTGCGACCACGCCTGCCAAGTGCAGCTGATTGCACTCTATAGTGTAGTAATTAGCACGATTTCCCCCCATGGGTGGGGCGGCCTAGCCCAAAACCCACTGACATCTATACATCTAACATCATCTAACCACCAAAACGAGTGCCGAATGCGGTCTCCTCTCACAGTTCCCCCACCAACGCAGGTCCGCGCGCACGCGCGCCGCTGAACCTTCAGAGTTGCTGCGCGCCACGGCAGGCAGCGCCTCCTCGCCCACCGCGTGGGGCAGCGGCGAACTCTTCACGCGCGCGAGCTCCATGGCAGCGGCCGAACCCGTACAGCGGGAACTGTGGAGGAAATGCGGGGGGTGGTGTGGAGCTCAGAATGGTGGGTTTGATGTGTGTTGGGTTGTATTGTAGTGCCACCCATCCACCCAACAAAAATCTGGAGTTGCCCTTGCGAAGCCGTACAGCGGTTGTGAAATGCACTGAGCTCATTGGAGGAATGTCTTGTCAGTAGTTGGTGGGGGCACCCTGTCGGCGTTGGTCACTTCATCAATTGCCAGCCACTCCTGCCTTTTACTTGAATGGACGACGCTCTTCTTTTGGCACCTTCATCCCAACATCGAAAGGTGCAATAAGAATACAGCCTCTTCGGAAGGGGTTCAACTGGAATGCATTGCACTGCACGCAGGAAAGGACAAATGCTGATTTCACCGCAAACCACTGTTGTTGTTGTTGTTGTTGTTGCTGTTGTTTATACATGTTTATACTATATATATACATATCTTTTTGGGGGCACAAAATGAGTATGTTATATACTTGCTAGCATGTCAACCAGAAAATGAAGGAACAAACGGCATAGGGCCCGCCGCTGGCATGGTCACACTGCATGCTCTGCCTATCAGGCTTTTCGACGCCTCCTCGCCGCCCCCTCGGGGGGGTCGTTCAATTAGTGGATCTGGGGAGAATGGAGCCAGAGCGGGTTGACCACGCGGTGGGCGAAGTTGGTGGCAAACATCATCTCTCAGAATGGACCGGCGGCAAGTCCAGTGGTACTGCCTCAATGTATATTATAAACCCCCTCAAAAAATGTTTATAAAATATAAATACATACCAAGCTCCAGCTCGAGCTGGTGCTGGTGCTGCTGCTGGTGTTGGTGATGGTAGTGGTGGCGGCGGGGGCTCAAGGTCCAAAATCATCACTAAGGTGGCCAGAGTTCAGCTGCACAGCTGCACACCTCATTTACCTTTGAGCCTCCCCAACTGTTTTGTCAAGAAGCTATTCAGTACACCCGAACGCTGTCTAAGGTGGTTTACCTAGGGGTTTTGCTGCTCCGAACGCGCCTGCTCTAGCCAGTGTAAAAAGGGCCAGAAAATTAACATATTCAGCTGGCTCCAAGTAGGATCTCGGTACATCTCGGTGTCACTATTAGCTACAGTATGCAGCATTTGGATGGGTCTCCTCCCAGGTCACTCGTCCTTTTCGGCGACGATCCCCGGTCACCACCGGCGTCCTACCGCGGTGTCCTACCGCGCCGTCGACCGGCGTGAAGCGCTGACTGCGGCGCCTCTTCTTCTTTGTGCATTCCGGTGACGGAGCCCTCCAACACGACGATGTAACGGACGCCTGTCAGAAGTAACGGACGTGGGTGGTTTCAATTCACTTAAATCACATTCTATATATATATATACAGTGTTATAATCAGTGGGTTCAGTCGTCCCAAGTGAAATTTGGAACACAAACACATCCAAAACATTCCAAAACCACCACCTAGAAGTTGTTTAAAGCCTTCTCCCGTTCCATCCTTAGCATCCTGATCCTAGTCCTAGCCCACCCACGTGTCCCATCTCGCCCCGTCAATGTAGTCAGTACCTGGCACCGGACGTCGAGCATTTGAAGGTGTCAAACCCTCTCACGGAAGCCAGGGAAAGGAATCCAACACGTGGAACTATAGTGCATAGGTCTACTCCAAAGGATTGGTGATTTTCTCTCACCATCCACCTGGGATGGATGAATATCCGCAAGACTTCCACATCACCAAGCTCGGGCCTTCCTGCACTGCAGCACCGGCAGGTAGATCCTTGATGACCTCGTTCAGAGCCGAGAGCCGAGAGCTGAACGAGCGAGGGAGCCGAGCGACGAGGCCGTCGACCTTCCGCAGAGGCCAGGCACCGTGGAGGGAGGCGGGTCTTTAAGTCTGTCTGAACGTCCAGGCTCGTCCTGAAAGTTCACTGTACGATCTGGATCTAGCGATAGTACTGCTCTGAGAAGTACCAGGCACGGATGATCTGCCATATCACCCCAAACATCTGCCCAAGCAAAAGACCATGGAGCATGCAAAAATGCGAAAGGCAAAGCATGGTAAAGCATCGCAAAGCATAGAACACCCCATTACAACCAATTGATCCATTCACACCTGGCCGCTTGCTCCCTCCTGCTTCGATCCTGCCATTCTCGTTTCGCACCCGAGGTGCAATGGCTTTCGCAATGTCATTCCGCTGCGTCGAGGAGAACTGCGACATCACCGGGCACATCCTGCCCGTCGGAGCCGTCGGAGCAGCCCGGCGGCGAAGGCGGCGAAGGCGAACGGTGGACCCGATTCTGCGGGATGAAACACAGGTGATCATGGTGATTCATATAAGAATCGTGTGTTGGTCGTCATCATCATCATCATCATCATCATCATAATCATCAACCTCGTGTGGTCCATAAACACCATGTGTGGCACTTTTCTTGACACGTTGGTCATTCAATGTCATTCATGAACACTGCGTCCCAGCCAGGGCCAGGGGCAAGCTCCACTCCACAGGGCCGAAGGCCAACTCACCCGACCTTAAACCCTTGTTGACCAAGGCCGTCTCCAGAATCTTGGCCAAATTGTTCCCCAAGATCTCCTTCAAGTCCTGGAAGGCTTTCAGGATACAAGGTGTGCGCGCTTCTGGATTTGTCTGGATTTCTAGTAGAAATTCTACAGGTCACACAAACTGGAGGAAGACAAAGTGCACCTCAAAGTGGCCAACGAAACTGATGACCTAGAGTCGCACTGCTGAAGCTTCTCGCAATATCCACTGCAAGTTCGAGTTCTTCACCTTTTGTGGATTGTGTTCAGCCTTTTTGTACCGAACAAAAGGAAACAAATGTGCACATGAGCTCCTCACAGCCGACTCGCTTCCTAGTAAGTAAGAGTGCTTTGACCAGGGAAAAGACGCAATCGGTAAAGACCTGGTGACGTTTTTGGAACCACAAAACCGCAGCCGCACAAAAGAAAGAACATGCTGCCCAGTCAGCCGGGAGGACTTCTCCTTCACGCTGATGCACAAGAGCTCCGTCCTCAGAGTTCACTTTTGAGCCAGCCTTCCCATGGGATGGTAGAGAACTACAAAGCTACCAGCCATGGGGTGGAAAGCCTTTTTAAAGCTAACTGCCCCAACCATGGGGTGTGCGTAAATCGGATTTCTCCTGCCCCAAGCATCACCCGAAGTTCGCACCTCCAACCACGAACCACCATGCATCACCCAACTCCGTCGGCCCAGCGGCTTTGCATCGGCCAGCAAGGTGTTTTCCCACATCGGCCTGCCGACGTCAGATCGGCGGAGGGGGAAACCACCTTCGCACTCACCCTTGTAAATGGTGATCTTCCCAAACCACCTCGTTTACTAAGGGTCGATACAGAACCTGCGCCAAATCTCAATGCACTCGCTGCTCCGGGCTGTTTATATAGGTATGTTTGCTCCTCCCTTAGGGAAAGCCAACCAATCAAACCAAAAGCTTTGGGGTTCAATAGTCAAAGACCCTCCAAGTCACTCTTAGGCAAGGCTGACTTCTACACTTCTACTGGCTGAATGAATAGGACCCGGGCTGCATAGTCTGGCCAAACAAAGTGGAATCCCCACTCAACTATGAGAAAATCACCCGCCAAAGGTGCGACTGGATGGGCATCTGCAATCGAAGTCGAAGTCAGGATTGCACAAATATATTCCATTGGTTAGCCCAAAGCGCTTCAGGATGGTAAGGTCGTGTCCCAAAAACGTGCTTGGCGGCCAAGCCGAAGAGAAAAATAGCTGGGGACACGTGGTGGCAAGCCATGGGGTAAGAAGGGATATATATAAGACCATGGGAATTGTTTCGCACAGCTCTCTCACACACACGATCTTCAGGTGCCATGGTGTTACTTTTTACAATCCCAATTCATCCACTGTTGGACCACCCCGATTTCAGGCGACCCCATGGGACCCTTATTAAAAAAATGCGACCGAGGCTTTCTTAATAGGGGAGGGCGTGTTTTTTAATAGGTGGAAGGGATTGTTGCCCATCCAGCCCCTTCCAAAGGATAGATAAGACCGCTCACCCAACCTCGCATACCAGGGGCACTGAATCAAACCCAGGGCCCAAGCAGCAAGTCCATTCCACACCATCCTCTCTCTATGGTTCACCAACCACGACAGTCACATGCGGCGACACCAAGGAGCAGGTGCCTGGTCTTGGCACTTAAGAGCAGCGCGGCGCCAATGTATTCACCCGAGGACAGGTGGTGCTCCTGGCACTGTCGGCGACATGTGCGACATCGGCGCATGTCAAAGTGCCTGGCGGTGAACCCTGCGGCACAAAGCGGACAGGAGTCTTCCAGACGCCCATCTTTCATGCGATCGAAGGAAAGTAGGACCTGTGACTGGCTTACACGGATTTCACATATAAAACATATTAAGCAGCCTGCAACATGGTCTGTTCGGTGAAGGCGCTGCGCTGAGCTGTGGCGCCTTGTTGCCGTTTCTCCTTTTGGACCCACCCTGCCACCACCCAGCATTCACTTTGCCTCGTTGCCACCGGAGAACTTGCCATCGGCTTTCACCTCTCCACCAGTCATCACTTTCAAGCCACCCTTCTTCACCTGGGTGGCCCCGCATTCTTCGGTGGAGCTCGGCGCCGCCGCGAGGCTCGCTGCCGGTAGCGCTGCTGCCCGAGCTCCGAGCGCGGAGCTCGGGCCATTCGGTGACCCAGTTGACGGGCCAGTGACCCCCTTAGAAGGGCCTTCAAGGTCACGTGTGAGGCCTCGCCGGTCCGGTCGCGTGAGGTCTCACGAAAGGCCCCGCAATGAATGGGGTGTTTCGCTTGCTCGCCCTGCTGTTCCTAGCAAGAATGCTCCTAGTAGCGATGGAGAATTCAGAATTCGTGGCCGGCGGAGGTGCCCAAAAAATATGAGAAACACGAACGGGCACGACAGCGATTCCTCACGAGGACGTTATGACTGGAAGTTGTTTTTCTGAACAGATTTGATGAAGCTGCAAGTCCAAAAAATGAGGCTTTGTCTATCCATTTCTGTAAGTTAGGCTACCTAGAGAGCAAATCCACGAACCAAGAACCACACTGAGGCAACAAAGGGCAAAAGAATAGAACGACTGTAGTATTGTAGTCCCAGGCTTGGGCACCATGGTCCTGAAACACCGGACTCAACATCTTCCTCTTTAAACAAGGGCCCTCTTCGGCTGCTGGTCCTCATACCTCGGCGCCCCCGTTGGTCCGTTGCTCCCGTTCCTTCCGTGTCAGCCGACACCGGCCAGTCCCGTCCCGCGTCGCCCAGGGGCGAAGTAAATGGCCGCCAGCGTCTCGCCCTGCGTGGCCACGCGCTGCCCGGCATCGAACCACTCGCTGAGCGCGGACAAGGCAATCTGGTCCTTCGCGCGCGCGTTGGCGAAGCGCGAAGCGCGTTTGGCAAACGTCCGGTTTTCTGGACTGGAGGGGGTCGCTGGCATGGTAAATCACCCTCAGGTTTTTAGATGTTGCTTAGGGCCAAAAAGACGTGAGATCAAAGGGTGGTTGAAGGCCTACAGGTGGTTCTGCACTGTGATCCAACGTTATCTTTTCATATCTTTTCGTTCAGACCCCAACCAGCGCCTTCTGCTTCTGGTTCAGACCATCGAAGACCTTGATGGAGTCCAGGAACTTCAGGTTGTCTGCCTCATGAGGAACAGTCACTACAGCGCTCCAAAGCTGGGCGTTGCAGAGGGTGACCGCCTTGACCCATGGGTCGACTGGAAAAGCCCATGGTTCTAGGTACAGGATGACTGGAAATCCCGTCTGCTCTGTCTATTCTGTTCGACCGTGCGCCTGAAAAAGGCCATCGATGCCTACAAGTAAAACCCAAGGGCCCCAAGGGTTGGCTCGGCATTTTTTTGATCTTTGGCTTGCAAAGTCCATCTCAAATCAGGCCTGCCTCACTACCCTAGGTCAAAACCACTCAAGAATTGCCGGAAATGTGGGGGGAGCATGTGTCAACCGATCATGCACCAGAATCGGCGCACCAGCAAACACCACATCAACCAGCAAACACTTTTCCCTACAACACGCACATGCAAGCGACGGCTCACTCCCCCAAAACCAGCCCGCCCACGCCCAACAAATGGCAACAAAAGGATATCACCACTATAGCAGCTAGTGCGCAGCATTTCTGGGGTTCAAGTGGCATGCCTTCAGCTTCTGGGTCTGGAACACCACATGAATCGACTCTAGAGCTCGAAGGAACCGACGTTCCGCTCCGTCGCCGGCCTGGCGGTTGGCCGCATTCTGTGCCAAGACCTGCCAGGCGGTTTGGTGGGCGACGTGAGGTGGGACTCTCTCAGCCGGCTGAGAAGCACAGGTGGCAGGCCCACCTCAAGAAGAAGCGGACATAGTCCAGTGGGCATCCTGAATATTTTGAGTGAGAGTTCTATTGAGACATTTGATGCAAAAGATCCTGATCTATCATGATCTATCATGATCTGCATGATCAGAATCCAGTCCGCTCCAAAGACCTGGCCGGACTGGACTTGTGATTGAAAAGGCCACGCGAACAGCGCGAGAAGCGGCCACACCTGCTTGAAGTTGTGCCCATTGGCGCCCCAAACTCCAGCATCGATCAGCGCCTTGACCGTCGCCGTCCTGGCAACGCTCAACAACACTGGCACTGTTCATCTGAAGGAAAAACCCGCAACGCTTTCGCCCATCTAGGCAAAAGGGTGCTGGTAGGGGATAACTGGTATGGTATATGGTATATGATATACATGTGTATAGGCCATATACACTTGTCCTTTTGTTCCTTGTGCGTGTGCATGCAGGCCTCCCAAGAAGTACATTTTTGAGCTACTGTTGACTCGCTCAGAACTACCATGAACTACCAGACAATTCGTTGAGGAAGTGTGGAGTTCAACTCGTTGAGGAAGTGTGGTGTTCTTCACATTTGGCAGGTTGGATCATCAAGGGAGGTCATCCCATCTAGCTGTGCCGGAGGACCCGAAAAACGCCGAGCACCACTCTACCAACCCTTTTCTCTCAGGTCGAGTGCGGCCGAGGCCCCTGGCCGAAGACGAGGTACCAACAGTCTAGAAATCTGTCCGCCCGGCAGTTCAGCCCATCGCATCAGACTGATTCAATCCATTTCAATCCAGTTCGAACCAATGGACTCGGGACCCAGAAATTCAGATGTCGCATGAAACCAAACCAAACATTCAAACCCCACCGGATTCGGCGGCCTGGGGCAGTTGTACAGCAACGCAAGGCCTTTGAGAGTCGGAGATGAAGTTTCAACGAAATGGGCTGGTTGGGTGGTTGAACCATCATCCCAGGAAAGCAACTGGCCAACTGGGAGCATAGGATTAATATATATATATATATAATGGGATGGAATCTGCAAAAACCATCAGAAAATCCACCACTCCGTCACGTTGCAGCTAGAGACACGAAACACTAGGGAAAAAAAGTGCGTTCTATCTGTCTTTGCTTTCCGATGTGTAGTTTAGAGTTTCATTCTCTATGCAAGCTCCAAGCATGAAAGAAAGAAATCCCCTGAACACCACTGGATAGGAGCGAATCCCTATAGAACATTCCATGACCACAAGTTCGATCCTATCCAAGGTGTCTTCGGAGGTTTGAAGGAGCCTCACACCAGAGATTCTTCAGATTAAAGTCGTTGATTGGGTGATTTTGTCCATATTGGACTTAGCCTCGGCAACCTCAGCAATCTTAACTCTCCGGACGCTTCACATCTGCGGTCAGCCAAGACACCACCGAACGCCTGACCTTCCATGAGAGTGTTCACGACATTGCCTTGGGCACCAGCACAATTTGTTGGTCAATAATCGGGTGGTTGATCCATATCGGGTGGTTGATCCATATTCTTTCATGATGGAATGGCCAATTCTATCCAATTCTGCAAAAAAAACTTAATTACAGTGATCCCCAAGCAGATAGTGGCACGGTTTCCAATAATTACATGATATTACATGGTTTCGTGGGGTTCCCAACACATGTCGCCAGGTTTGAGCGGATCTCACAAATCCAAGCTGCCATTGACGCTCACTTCCAACGTGCCCGTGTGCGTGACGAAGAAGGTGGTGCCCATCTTCCCCTGCTCCACGATGACGCCTAGGTCATTGCCGCCCAGGGTGGGCTGCACTCAGTGCGGAAGAAATCTGTTCGGAGTGATGCCTTGAAGTCCTGGAACCCCGAGAGCAATCCTAACCTACACCCCCAAACATTTGTTTGACCAATGCGGCGGTGTCCTTCGCAGCACAAATCCAGATTGACCCCGCAGCACGCAGCTCCCAAGGAACCCTCCCCAAAACCCGCCAAGGACGCCAAGGAGCTTCCTTTGGAAAACCTCGGGAGAGGTCAGGAGGCAGTGGTGCGACCAGAAAAGATGACCAGGACAACACGAACACACGAAGATTGGAGCGATTTTTTTTGGGGGGAAAGGCTGTTGGCCGCTGACTGATCCCTGAGCTCGAGGAAGGGAGGCAGTGCTTGGGAACAAAAGGCGGGACCACCTCTCCACAATGATTGGCTCCGTCGGTGCCGCCCCCAAAAAGTAAGAAAACCAACTAAAGGCCGACCTCAGACCAATGCAAGGATGGCTCCCTATAAAGGAGTCTTGTGCTGAAAATATGATATCACAGTACAAAACGTCCTGAAACTGACAGAAACCAACTTCACTGCAATTTTGAGGAGGCTCAGCTTAGCTGGTGGTCTATGTATTCCACGGACCACTACATTAAACCATGCCCCAAATGGAAAGAAGCTGCTCCAAATTGTGCTGGATTATGTGGATATGGAAGGATCACTGAAACCTACAGCCTATCTATAGCTTGGACACTCTACTGCACATACTGCTTCTCAGTTTCCTGGAAGATCTGGTGCAAAACAAGCCACTGGAAGTACTCCATGGTCGACAAGATCGCTTCAATCTGCGGCGAGACATATGGAACCCCTTGTGAGGCCCGGTGGCCACGGTGCCCTGAAGCCTACAGCAACTCACCTCGCAATGATCGCGGGAAGAATGACGCACATCTTCCGGCCCACTGAAGTGGGCTTGCTATGTTCTTAGCTTCTGATTCTGGGGGTGCACCATCATTTCAACATGGAAGTTGCATATATGAGAGGTACTGAGGGGGGGTTGCTAGGAAGGTGTCAAAGATACAACACCCCAGCGGCGCTCCAGTTGGATGGGGACCTCTCTTCATTGTGTTCCTCGCTCGTAGTCCTTCCTTGGACCAGGGGGGTTGGATTTCAGCTGCGAGCGTTTCTCTGCGCCCGGTCTTGACTCGCACCATCCTACAGGTAACATCCTATATCATCTCCAGTTGGAACATCGTCAGTCATGACCATCTCTATACTATTTCCATTATGACTGCGCACAGTTCATCGTACTTCTGTTTACGGTCCTCCAATGGGGACGCACGCTTCTGTCGCTTCGCTGAGGAGAAGAAAGGGAACTGATCACCGAGACCCGGCAAATCGCGGGCACCAACTAGGAATGGCAGAACCATGCAGAACCCGAACTTGGCCAATGGCAGCACCTCACCGTGACCTCACCCCCCGGCCCCCCCCACCACATGCAGAATCTGCCGGCCTCAGGATCTTCTAAGATGGCGCACACACGATCCTGCTATTTGCTGGTCACAACATGGTGGGAGAGGCAAGCAGGCAAGCTTCAACATCCATCGCCCAGCCCCAAGGAATCGCACCAAAGAGCCCGGGCCCAATCGACCCAAGCACCCGGTGGCCCCCAATCTCCTGCTTCATCGCCGCCTTGATCAACTCCTTCGTGCCCTGCAGAGCGGGGAACATCCGAGGGGAATCCCCATGGACTGGGCGAGCTTCAGTCATGGAGCCCCTGTGCTCGAACCTGGAGTCGAAGGATGCTTCCTTCGATGCTGCGGAAACAGGGAAGACCCCCGCGACATACGGTGTAGATGTAGCTCATATATTATATAAATTGCAGCAATTTTATAATTGGCTGCCTGAGCTTCAAGCATACACCATCCCGCAAACTCTTCTCCGTCGCATGCGGCTGAAAGGGGCCGTGGAGACACGCCTTGTCCATATCCTTCTTCTGCTTGTGCTTTATCAGGTGGTCCTGCAGCACCAACCGTTTGGGCAGTCGGCACACCAAAGGGGACAATCCCATGAGGCATCCTCGAGAAATGATACAACCTGCATGTGGCAATTTCGGCTCACCATCACTCACAGCCAACCCATTTCTTCGGATCTCGCGGAGGACCCCAACACTTCAAGGATCATGCCCACCCCCAAGTCCTCTCGAGGGGAGGCTTTGGGAGGGCTCTAAGTTTGTCACATCTTTCTGCCACCCAAAATCAATAGCTTCCACTGGGCGAGTGCCCTGACATCTGCGCAATGGCGATCGGCACGCCTCCCTACACAACCCACCAATGGAAGAAGATGGAGGAAGCAGAGGAATCACCGATCACCTCGCCCCTCAGCGCCCTTCAGCGTGACGCACGCCCCTCAGTCGTCATGACGCCGTCGTTTCCGGGACGCCATGGTCGCAGCACTCGCGGGGCCCTTTTCGTCACGCTCGTGAGGTCTTCACGCTGCCTGTGGCACCTGCGTCTCGAGCCGATCGCCTGGACGTCCCATTGTTGCAAGTCTAAACCACCGCTTTTCAACCTGGAAGCATTTCAAGTCAACACCCCATTCCATCAATTGACCTCGTTCTTGGCCATCTCTTTCCTGCTTTCACCCGCCCGACCGTCAGACCGACTGTGGGATCCACGTTCACGCTGCGGATCCCGTCGGAGGTGCGCCCTTCTTCTTTCGGCCCGAATGGAGGTGGCAGAAGTCCTCGGTGCGTCGCTTCCCAGGTCGATGACATGGAATTCCATGTATTCAGTTCTGCCTGAATTGGTCATGTTCACTTCCCTGCATGGGCTGGGGAGATTGACATGTATAAAGCTATTTTTAGAGCCTCATGCCCATCCCCCTCTTTGCCCTCACCGGCCAGCCCACCCTGCAATCCGGCAATCCGCCAACAGTGCCCTGCCAGTCCCTCCAAGGCGCACACAGCCAAGCCTTCTTGCAGCGGCCGGGCACGCGCTCGAACATGCACGGCCTGGCTTTTCGCCGCGCGGCCATAGAACGGTGCAGAGCTCATCACTCGGTCGGACCTGGAGCAAATCTGGTGGTGAAAAGATTTTGCTGAATGTCTTCTGATTTGCATAGGTCTTCCGGCAATGAGCGGCAAGGGATCATGGACTGATTGTCCAACCAAACCTTTGGCAACCACTGGCTCGGGTGGCTCACTCTTGATGTACTTGATCAGCAAGATTGGTAAATCAAATGTACTCAAAAAGGTCGAGAAAAAGAAGTCAAACCGCAGCCCTTTCCCATGGCCATCCGTTCCAGTCCGGTTTGGCCCGGACATGCCTGCAAGGTGCTTCCGTCTGGCAGCTGTGCAACAAGGAGCCAAAGGAGCACACCTGAAGGGACGTACGCACAGGGAGGTTGAGGAGATCCCTTCCACTCCCTGAAATCATCATGGAAGTGCATGGCATGGCCCGAAAGGAAGACCATGTTCCGAAGACCAAAAAGCTGGGAACTGAATGACACCCTTCAGGGCAGCCAGCTTCGAGAAGGGCCCAGGGCTGGCACCATGCCAGCCCTGGGCTCAATAGGCGAACCGTCCAAAAGAAAAAGGCCCCTCGGTGTCCACTCGGGTGTCGTGATGGGCGCAACATGCTGAGTCTGAAAACCCCCGCTCCACCTGGACACCTTCCCCCCCATCTCTCTCCCTCAAGAGCGTCACTCCGCCTGTAGCTGGGGCCGGTCCTGCGCCTTCAAGCGCAGCACGTCTGAGACCTCAGCGCCGTCGATCCAAAAGGTCGCTCCCTTCCGCAGTTGTGGATCCAGGAGCCGGTTTTGAGTCCCATCCAGTGAGTGGATGTTCATTCTGGGCACCCCTTTGTGACTCCTGGACGTGTTGTTCTGTTTCTCCGCTAGGCCTAGGCGAAAAGCCCCGAAAGAAAAAACAAAAACCTCCCGTGCCCTGTGAAAGACATTGAAGGACATCACATCCGACAGCAGCATGTGATGGTCAAGTTCTGGAGGATGTCATTTTCTTGCTTCGTCTATCTGATTCTTCGCAGTGGCGGCCCCTTTTCCGGACCACTGTTAGGGAGGTATGTCATCACCCCGGACCTGCTGTCGGCTCCAAGAGAAGAACCCACCCAATACAGCACGGCCGTCCGCGGTGGCAGACGCTTTGTTCCGCGGTCAGGGCGGCAGCTCGCAGAGGAGGCGGCACTTGGAGGAGAACCACAGCTCCACCACCAGTCCCAACCTCGGAGGGCTCAAGGCTGGTCAGCCCAGCGAGCCAAGTGGCCCCCACCAACAGCACAAGCGGCTCGATGGACTGGATGGAAGGGATCAGCGCTACCTTAACGATGAACTATCAGGATGAACTTCCAGAAAGTGGATTAGTTCATGATTCATTGTTGTTGCTTCCCTCCTTCGGTTAGAAATGTGTGTGCAGCGGTGGCTGCTTTTTTGGGGGAGTAGGATCCCAATATATACATCCAAGCATGGCACAAGGGTTTGCGAGACCCACTTTTCTGCCAACCAATCAAGCGCATTTCAATGCATTTCATGAAACCTCAGGAAGGAGATGAAAGGAGGCTTCCACTTCCTGAAGTGGACACCGCAGTTGGTGACCTCTTGGGTGGACCAATCCGCCGAAATCCGGCCAATCCAACGAAAGCACGGTGGGCGGCAAGACTTTCGTTCCGTCTCATCCTGCTTCGTTCCCTTCCACTCTCGGACGCGAGTGGACCGACCGGTCCTGCGACGTACGTCCGGCAGGGCGACACGGCGGCAGGGCGGCAGGGCGGCTTCGGGATGCCCCCAGGCCCGGCAAGTTAAGGCGTCATGTTTGCCCTGGTGGGGGGTCCATGGCCAATCGGTTCATAGCTTCTTGTGAAGCCGTGGAGCGTCAACAGCATACCCAGCAGCACCTGAAGGTCCAAAAAAGCTGGCGAGAGAGAGAGAGAGAGAGTCATCGAAATCCGTGAGACGTGCCACTAAACATTAAGATTCATGTGGATGCCATTAATATCAAGTAATCTGGGCATGTTTCGTCATGGCACGTAAGGAGCCATACAGGATGTCTCTCGGAAGGGGTGAAAATGTTCACTCAGCTTCATTTGCATCAGCAACCGTTCACCTTGACCTCTGGATTTTGCATCTGCCTCCTGTCCACTCGGCCACTTGCAACAGCGAAAGGAAGATTGGAAACCGAGGCACCATCAAGGCTAGGAGCCACAAAATGGGTCCATCCTCCAGGAGTGCTTGTAGCTTGGCATCCCAGGGTAACATCTGGAATGAGGCCACTTGGTAGCTCAGCTTGGCCACATCTTCTTCCACCTGACAGCGCAGCTGGGACACTGTTCCGAGATTTATGTAACCTTCACCTGATCCTTACCTAGTTGAAGATTTTGATGATCAAGCAGCTGCAAATTCGAGAGATCCAAGCTGTATGATGCCGTATGCAAGCCAGCATGATGCTCGAGCAACTGTGGGGATTCCAATCGTAAGAGTCACTGGCTCGGAACTCCGTGCATGGCCACAAATGGATACAAAGGGTGCATTACAATAAAACAGGTGCCCTTCCCAGGGTCTGTTCCAAGCCCCGTTCTGTCTACTAGTCTTCAAAACGCCCTCATTCTTCTCACCACTGACTTGGGGCCTATGTGTTCATGCAGAACCTGCTTGCCCTTGTACCGGACGCTACACTTACCATGCTTCTGGATGGCATGTAGGACCCTCATCTACAACCCAAAGTCTGCAAGCAGTGAATCCCGAGTCTGCACGCTTTCTCTCCACTAGCGCAGGCTCGCTGCGCTCGTGGGCGCGTTCTCGTGACCGGCCGGTTGGATGCAGTGTTCGGTCTGGAGCTGGGAGATGAGACGACCCGCCGTCCGCCATCCTCGCCCGTTGGGCTCTCCGAACCTACGCCGTTTTGGGCGCCGGTCCTTTCGCCCCCGATCAGGTCAGCGGGAGCCGCACCAGGAGTCGCCGGTTCGGGAGCCGCTTGAACTTGGCCACCACTTGGGCCGCGGCGTCCACTGCGTTGGGGAGGTCGATCAACAGCTGAGGGTAACCCATGGCCGTCACTGAAAGCTGATGCGCCGAGCGAGCGACATCCACGTCCGTGGGCTCCAAGCCCTCTGGGAGTGCGATGGAGTAAGTGATGCTGCTGGCTTCTTCTTTCACCGAATAGTTCAATGCAGCTTCCAAAGGTGAGGACTCCATCAATCTGTCAATCAAATCTTTTGGCCAGCCCATTTTCTGTGCCCAAAGCATGCACACGTGAAGATCCCGCACTGCAAAGGTCATGAAAAGCCGCCAGGCGTCTTGGCCTAAATCGGATGAGGAGCTTAGCTGCTTGGCATGGTATGCCTGAAGGACGCTTTTGAAAGACCAGTGCAAGTGGTACATGCTCCCAGGGCAAACAGCCTGCAACAGATTGAGACACCTGCCATGTGCCGCCAGAGAATCCGCTGGTTCCTTCAAGCGCTCCTTCGCAGCTGCTAGGCCCATGAAGATGGGCAAGAAGGAGGAAGAAAGCAGCTGCCCATCCTGGTCTTCATCCTTCCTTGGCGAAGCAACCACTTTCTTTTTGCGAATTGGGGGCTGCCTATGCCGTCTTGCTCTGTTCAGTGGGGAGGTTCCAATGTTCCACCGACATGAACACCCAGGAGGTTGACCCGAGAAACATTGGAGAAAGTCGGTTAGAATGCTAGCCCTCACCATCATGGGAAGACCGCAGGTTGCAGAAACGAGGCCCAAACACCCAAGGAACTCGGGTGGCTCTTTAGGTTTGATTCGCTAACTTCATCAAGTTCTTTGTTTCGTATGTCACCTATGAGGTCAGCGAGTAGCATGCCCCGCTTCCTGTCACATCGCATCTCTCATCGGGAGCGTGCCAAGCATCTTTGCACCACATAGCTCCTCACCAGGATTGGGGTGATCCTCTGTTGGCGGCCAAATGTGGCCTATAGTGCACGTGTATATATATATATATGCATACATATGTGCATATATAAACTAATGTGTTGTATAGATAGATCGACCGATCGATAGATAGATAGCTAGGTAGATAGATAGATAGATAGAGCCCTCCAAAAAAAACAAAACATTTAACAAATGGTTGACCTGGTTGTCCACTGTAAAGTCCTTAGGTGCCCTTAGTAAAGCAATGGCTGCTCAGTGAAGACCATTATATAATAAATATATATAAATATATAGTTAAGTCAATGGATGGTTGGAATCCCAGGCAACCCCCCGGACTAGATTTCGGAGTTGGCACCGCTCTCTCAATCCCGGAAGTGGGAGTATGCTCCCTGGAGCCAATCTTCCTCTACTCGCCTACTCGCCGTACTCGGCGACATGGAGGGCTCATCTCGCATGGCCCACCAGCTCGCTACCACATCCTTCCCGAATCCACTCCAGCCTCCGCTCAAACGCATCGCTACTAGGAGCAAGGACGCTACTGGGGGCTCCTGGCCTTACTACTAGGAACAAGAAGCTATTAGCAACAATTCTCATTGGGGGCGTTCGCTCCAAAACCCACCGAGCAAACCCTTGCTTTTGTGATGCTACTGAGTCCCTCAAGCAAAGGTTCCACCTCCCACCTCACACCGTCCCCCCACCTTCCCGACCTCTCCTGGCACTCCCGCGCCAAAGCCTCCAATTCGGCCACCAAGTCCGGGAGCCCTCCTGGCCGAGCTCCGGCAATGGCGCGGTCCAGGGACTCCAGCAAAGCCCGCTGCCGTGAAAGCGTCTTCCTTGGGACGACGTGCCTCGACCCGACCCGTCACTCTTATGTCACTTCTCGACCTAAGAATCTCATTTTATATATAATAAATGACTGAACTCTTCTTTTTGCTGAGCCCTGAGCGTTTTGCTCGGCGACCGATTTATGCACAAACCCCAACAAAGATAACAAAGGCGCGACATCGGAAGATCAAAAAAACTTATTGCTACTTGCAGGTAGGATTCTCCGGTAACGCTGCCTCCAGAGTACACCGTGGACAGGTGCAGGTGAAGCGGAAGGTCTCCAGCAAGTGCTTTCGTCGCAAGTGATACGGCTGGAAAGGGGAGAGGTATGACATTAACAATTCCTCTCCTGCTGCGATATGCCTGGCTTTGTCCAAGGGCCAAAGCCAGCAAGTCCAACTACGTCCAGCTCTGGCGTGCTAAAATGGAACTTAATGTATCTTAATGTTGGTCTTTCCATCGAGGAGGACTATTAGAAATCAAAACAAACATCGCACGAGACAATGAAAAAGTTTAAAGCGTGTCTTTTCATCATGCGTGTCAGATACTTGGCGGCTCTCAAAACCAAAAGGTCTTGAAGGAAATGCCCTTGAACATTTGGAAGGCAAGAATGATTAATCAGCGAGGCCAATGGCCACACCCCGGACAAGGAAGGCTCCTCTGCATAGCCATGTTCATTCAGCACATCTCGAGCCATGGCGTTGAAGCGCAAGACATTGGCAACCTTCTCTGCTTTCACACTCCTGTGGACAGGATTTGTCTCTCTTGAAGTTCTTGCCCAGCTCTCCAAGCTCATGTCCATCTGCGCGGCTGATGTGATCGATGGGCCAGGCTCATCTTGTAGACACATGAACCGCTCAAATTCTTCCTGCGAAGCCGTCTTGAGCTTTCGAAGGGCCGCTTCTTGCAACTCATTGGGCGGGGCAACAACCATAGCCTCGCAAACCAGCAGAGGCTCACCCTCACTGGCTGCGGCCGAGAGGAATAGCCCGCGTCCTCGGTCGGCGGTGTCTTGCACCTTCAGC